TCATTCTTTTATATGTAACTGTCCAGTTTTCCCAGCACCACTTATTGAAGAGGCTGTCTTTTCTCCATTGTATATTCTTGCCTCCTTTTTCAAAGATAAGGTGACCATATGTGTGTGGGTTTATCTCTGGGCTTTCTATCCTGTGCCATTGATCTATATTTCTGTTTTTGTGCCAGTACCATACTGTCTGGATTACTGTAGCTTTGTAGTATAGTCTGAAGTCAGGGAGCCTGGTTCTTCCAGCTCCATTTTCTTTCTTAAGATTACTTTTGTTACTCAGGGTCCTTTGTGTTTCCATACAAATTGTAAAATTTCTTGTTCTAGTTCTGTGAAAAATGCCATTGGTAATTTGATAGGGATTGAATTGAACCTGTAGATTGCTTTGGGTAGTATAGTCATTTTTAGAATACTGATTCTTCCAATCCAGGAGCATGGTATATCTCTCCATCTGTTTATGTTATCTTTGATTTCTTTCATCCGTGTTTTATAGTTTTCCGAGTACAGGTCTTTTGCCTCCTTAGGTAGGTTTATTCCTAGGTATGTTATTCTTTTTGTTGCAATGGTAAATGGGATTGTTTCCTTAATTTCTCTTTCTGATCTTTCATTGTTAGTGTATAGGAATGCCAGAGATTTCTGTGCAGTTATTTTGTATCCTGCAACCTTACCAAATTCTTTGATTAGTTCTTGTAGTTTTCAGGTGGCATCTTTAAGATTTTCTATGTATAGTATCATGTCATCTGCAAACAGTGACAGTTGTACTTCTTCTTTTCCAATTTGTATTCCTTTTATTTCTTTTCCTTCTCTGATTGCTGTGGCTAGGACTTCCAATACTATGTTGAATAACAGTGGCTAGAGAGAGGACACCCTTGTCTTGTTCCTGATCTTAGAGAAAATGCTTTCAATTTTTCACCATTGAGAGTGGTTTTGTCATATGTGGCTTTCATTATTTTGAGGTAGGTTCTCTCTATGCCCACTTTCTGGAAAGTTTTTATCATAAATGGGTGTTGAATTTTGTCAAAAGCTTTTTCTGCATCTATTGAGATGATTTTTTGGTTTTTATTTTTCAATTGGTTTTTTTTTTTTGTTTGTTTTTTTGTTTTTCTTTCACCTTATAGGTTATATGTATATTTTATTTTATTTTTTATTTATTTATTTTTTAACATCTTTATTGGAGTATAATTGCTTTACAATGGTATGTTAGTTTCAGCTTCACAACAAAATGAATCAGTTATATATATACATATATTCCCATATCTCTTCCCGCTTGCGTCTCCCTCCCTCCCACCCTCCCTATCCCACCCCTCCAGGTGGTCACAAAGCACCGAGCTGATCTCCCTGTGCTATGCGGCTGCTTCCCACTAGCTATCTACCTTACGTTTGGTAGTGTATATATGTCCATGCCTCTTTATCGCTTTGTCACCGTTTACACTTCCCCCTCCCCATAGCCTCAAGTCCATTCTCTAGTAGCCCAGAGATGGAAACAACCTAAGTGTCCATCATCGGATGAATGGATAAAGAAGATATGGCACATATATACAATGGAATATTACTCAGCCATAAAAAGAGACGAAATTGAGCTATTTGTAATGAGGTGGATAGACCTAGAGTCTGTCATACAGAGTGAAGTAAGTCAGAAAGAGAGAGACAAATACCGTATGCTAACACATATATATGGAATTTAAAAAAAAAAATGTCATGAAAAACCTAGGGGTGAAACAGGAATAAAGACACAGACTTACTAGAGAATGGACTCAATTGGTTTTTATTCTTCAATTTGTTAATATGGTGTACCACATTGATTGTTTTGTGTATATTGAAGAATCCTTGCATCCCTGGGATAAATCCCACTTGATCATGGTGTATGATCCTTTTAATGTGTTGTTGGATTCTGTTTGCTAGTAATTTATTGAGGATTTTTGCATCTATGTTCATCAGTGATACTGGTCTATAATTTTCTTCTTTTGTGATATCTTTGTCTGGTTTTGGTATCAGGGTGATGGTGGACTCATGGAATGTTTATGGGAGTGTCCCTCCCTCTACAATTCTTTGGAAGAGTTTGAGAAGGATAGGTGTAAACTCTTCTGTAAATGTTTGATAGAATTCCCCTGTGAAGCCATCTAGTCCTGGACTTTTGTTTGTTGGAAGATTTTAAATTACAGTTTCAATTTCATTACCTGTGACAGGTCTGTTTATATTTTCTAATTCATCCTGGTTCAATCTTGGAAGGTTGTACTTTTCCAATAATTTGTCCATTTTTTCCAGGTTGTCCATTTTATTGGCATATAGTTGCTTGTAGTTGTCTCTTATGATATTTTGTATTTCTTTGTTGTCATTTGTAATCTGTCCTTTTTCATTTCTAATTTTATTGATTTGAGTCCTCTCCCTTTTTTTCTTGATGAGTTTGGCTAAAGGTTTATCAGTTTTGTTTATCTTCCCAAAGAACCAGCTTTTAGTTTTATTGATCTTTGCTATTGTTTTCTTTGTTTCTATTTCATATTTCTGCTCTGATTTTATGATTTATTTCCTTCTACTAACTTTGGGTTTTCTTTGTTCTTCTTTTTCTAGGTGCTTTAGGTGTAAGGTTAGATTGTTTATGTGAGATTTTTATTGTTTCTTGAGGTGAGCATGAATTGCTATGGAATTCCCTCTTAGGACTGCTTTTGCTGCATCCCATTGGTTTTGGATTGCTATGTTTTTGTTGTCATCTGTTTCTAGGTATTTTTGAAATTTCCTCTTTGATTTCTTCAGTGATCTCTTGATTATTTAGCAGTGCACTGTTTAGCCTCCATGTATTTGTGTTTTTTACTGTTCTTTTTTTCCCTGTAATTGATTTCCAATCTCATAGCATTGTGGTTGTAAAATTGCTTGATACAATTTCAATTTTCTTAAATTTTCCGAGGCTTGATTTGTGACCCAAGATGTGATCTATTCTGGAGAATGTTCTGTGTGCACTTGAGAAGAAAGTGTATTCTTCCACTTTTGGGTGGAATGTCCTAAAAATCTCAATTAAGTCTATTTGGTCTATTGTGCTGTTTAAAGCTTGTGTGTTCTTATTTATTTTCTGTCTGGATGATCTGTCTATTGGTGTAAGTGAGGTATTGAAGTCCCCCACTCTTACTCCGTTACTGTCGATTTCTCATTTTATGGCTGTTAGCATTTGCCTTATGTATTGAGGTGTTCCCATGTTAGATGCATAAATATTTATAATTGTTATATCTTCTTATTGGATTGATCCCTTGATCATTATGTAGTGTCCTTCCTTATCTCTTGTAATAGTCTTTATTTTAAAGTCTATTTTATCTGATATGAGTATTACTACTCCAGCTTTCTTGTGATTTCCATTTGCATGGAGTATCTTTTTCCATCCCCTCACTTTCAGTCTGTATGTGTCCCTAGGTTTGAAGTGGGTTTCTTGTAGACAGCACATATGAGGGTCTTGTTTTTGTATCCATTCAGCCAGTCTGTGTCTTTTGGTTGGAGCGTTTAATCCATTGACATTCAAGGTGATTACTGATATGTATGTTCCTATTACCATTTTCTTAATTAATTTGGGTTTGTTTCTGTGGCTTTTTCTTCTCTTGTGTTTCCCGCTTAGGGAAGTTCCTTTAGCATTTGTTGTAGAGCTGGTTTGCTGGTGTTGAATTCTTGTAGCTTTTCTTGTCTGTAAAGCTTTTGATTTCTCCGTCGAATGTGAAGTAGATCCTTGCTGGGTAGAGTAATCTTGGTTGCAGGTTTTTCCCTTCCATCACTTTAAATATGTCCTGCCACTCCCTTCTGGCTCTCAGAGTTTCTGCTGAAAGACCAGCCATTAACCTTATGGGGATTCCCTTGAACGTTATTTGTTGCTTTTCCCTTGCTGCTTTTAATATTTTTTCTTTGTATTTAATTTTTGATAGTTTGATTAATATGTGTCTCGGCGTGTTTCTCTTCGGGTTTATCCTGTATGGAACTCTCTGCGCTTCCTGGACTTGACTGGCTCTTTCTTCTTCCACATTAGCGAAGTTTTTGACTATAATCTCTTCAAATATTTTCTTACACCTTTTCTTTTTCTCTTCTTCTTCTGGGACCCCTATAATTCGAATGTTGGTGTGTTTAATGTTGTCTCAGGGGTCTCTGAGACTGACGTCAATTCTTTTCATTCTTTTTCCTTTATTCTGCTCTGTGGTAGTTATTTCCACTATTTTATCTTCCAGGTCACTTATCCGTTCTTCTGCCTCAGTTATTCTGCTATTGGTTCCTTCTAGAGTATTTTTAATTTCAGTTATTGTGTTGTTCATCACTGTTTGCTCTTAGTTCTTCTAGATCCTTGTTAAATGTTTCTTGTATTTTGTCCATTCTGTTTCCGAGATTTTGTATCATCTTTACTATCATTATTCTGAGTTCTTTTTCATGTAGGTTGCCTATTTTGTCTTCATTTATTTGGACTTGTAGGTTTTTACCTTGCTCCTTCATCTGTAACATATTTTTTTGTTGCTTCATTTCTTTTTCTTTTTTTTTCTTTTTTAATGGGTGGGACAGTCTTCCTGTCTTACTGGTTGTTTGGCCTGAGGCATGCAGCACTGGAGTTTGCAGGTGGTTGGATACAGCCGGGTCTTGCTGCCGAGGTGAGGACCTCTGTGAGGCCTCACTCAATTAATTTTCCCTGGGTCTGAGGTTCTTTGTTAGTACAGCGATTTGGAGTTGGAGCTCCCACCACAGGAGCTTGGGCCTGACCTCTGGCCTGGGAACCAAGATCCTGCAAGCCACGTGGCGAGGCAAAAACAAAAACAAAAACAAAAACAAAAAAAAGAAGAAAAAAGGAGCCGTACGATAACAAAGAATAAAAAACAAAACAAATTTAGAAAGGTAAAAAATATATTAGGAAAAATAAAAATATAATTGAAACAGCTTCAATAAGGTAAAACAAAACCTCACCAGAAAAAAGAAAAAAAAGGGGAGGGGTGGGAACAAGCCAAAAGGAGCAGAACAATAACAAAGTATAAAGAATTAAAAGATTTATTAGAAAAATTAAAAGTATAAATGAATCAACAACAAGGTAAAACAGAACCCCAATCTAAAAGGAAAAAAGAAAAAACAAAACAAAACCCTTGCCTATGGGATGGGCGGAGTTTAGGCAGGGTTTCGGGTGGGGCGTGACCTAGGTGGGCTGGCGGAACATTTGAACGTGGGGCGGGGCCTAGGCTCAGAACCCAGGCACCCGGAAATGGCCTTGGGGAAGGTTATAGGCGAGGCACCGTTCAAGCATGGACAGGGCCTTTGCTTAGGACCTGTGCAGAAGTGGAGAGGCAGCACGTCCAAAGGGCTGCCTCCAGAGTGTGGAGTTCTGGAGTTTGGAGGTAAGGTCCTGGGTGAGGGTGTGTGGGTGGGGTTTAGGCCCATTGTGTTGGAGGGGGTCTCAGAGGGGGTCTCCGAGTGTAGAGGTGGGGCCCTGGGTGGGGTGCAGGGGCGGGGCTTGGGCTCTGCATTGCAGGAGGGAGGCTCCGAGGGCAGAGGATTAGGGCCAGGAGCCCAACAGGCTCCCTGGCGCCTAAGTGGACAGGGAATGCACTGGCCGTGTTCCCTTCTGTTCCTCTGTGTCCTCCCAAGTCTCCCCCAGGGTCTCCCCCATTCCTGCTGGACCCCTAACCATGGATGGGTCTTGCTGGGTGTAGGAACTCTTCCTCTCCCCCAGCCACCCCTCAGGGGTGCCAGTCCCAGAGGTCTGGCCTTTACTTTTGCTCCCCCTTCCCTCCCTCCCACTCCCTCAGGATCCTCCCAGCTGGCGGGAGCCTTGGTGGGCAGAGGATCAGGCCTGGGATCTCAGCAGGCTCCTGGGGGCCCAAGTGCTCAAGGGAAACCCAGCCACGCTCCCTTTTGATCTTCTGCCCTGCCAGTGTTTCCCCAATTTCCCCCTTTGGGCGTGAGACCCATTCCCTTCCCCTCCCCCAGCCACCACTCAGGGACGCCAGTCCCATCCCGCTTCCACTTCTTCTCCCCCTTCACTCCCCACCAAGCCCCACGTCCTACCCGGTTGCTGGGGGTTCCTTTTTCTCTTGAGTAAATCACTTGTAATTCTGTTAACTATTTCTGCTTGTTTGTTTTTGTTTGTCCTTGTGTCTATACATACATATATATATGTAATATATAAAATATATATATTAAAAATATACATGAAAGTAATGTTATTTTTGATTGGTCAAGTTTAGGTATCATATATCAGGGCCCTCCCATAACAAAAGAATTTGTTCATTTGAACCATCACCCACATCTCTGTCCCCCTACTCATTTTACATATACACACACACACAAACACACACACACAATCTTTTAGCTTCTTTATTAGTTTAAATCGCACGTACATAGTTTTTATTCCTTCAGTGACCTACAGTAACATTTGACTCACAATTTATGAGATGAGTGTATGGTGCTCCAACCCCTCTTAGGACCTCCTCTCCCACTTCCCTTTCTTCTGCTTCTCATTTCTAACAAATGTACTTTCACTTTTATAATGTTAAGATGGATAAAATTTATTTTTGGTTTTGTAAATTACAGTCTACCAAGCTTTCTCTATAGGTTGATTCCAGAAGTGGAACATCCATGAAGCAAATCATGTTTACTTTACTGTGACCATAAATATCATTTACCTCATAGCCAAGAGTACTAGGATTATTACTATGATTACTGTTCATTTTCTTTTTTAAAGTTTCTAATAGGTTCTTTTATTTTCTTGCTTGGTCTGTGTTTATCAGCTTTGGTTCCTTTATTTTCTTGCTTTAATTGTATTTATTACCTCCTTGAGGTATTTCAAGTTCTCAAGAATCTATTCATATTCCTGGAATCTACCTCATTTTTACAGATGACCCCCTCCTTCCTCCCCTCTATTCTTCTGCTCTAAGCCAGGCCAGTTACTTTAGGTTCCATAGAGCTGCTGACAAGACACTTTCCTGGGTTGAATACTATGTCCTATTCATCTTTTTTTTTTTTTTTTACTCCCTTCCATTTCATGAGCATAACTTTGATAAACTTCCCTATAAATATTTATATGTCTGATAATGTCATTATTCTTCTCTTATACTTTATTCTATTCTCACCCTTTAGTCATAGTTTAGCAAGATATGAAAGTCTCAGTTGACACTTATCTTCTCTTAGAACTTTGGAGGAATTTCACCACTGTGTTCTTAGATTTAGTTGTGCTAATGAAAAATATAATATTGGTTTTATTCCCTTTCTTCTGAAGATGACCCCTGGATAATTTGGAGATTTTCTCTTTATCTGTGGAGCTCCTAAAATTTCATAATAATATAGTTATGAATATTTGAGTATTCATTGTACTGATCACTCAAGGGACTTGATTATTCTGAAGCTTTTTGTCCTTTACCTCTGGGAAATTTCTTGCATTATTATTATTTTTTGGAAAATTTCTTCTCACCTTTATTTTAACCACCTTGTCTTCCTAGAACTTTTATTGGTCCAATGCTAAATCTCTTAAATTGCTCTTCTATGCCTCTCCTCTTTACTTTGCGCTCGTATTTCCATTTCATAGATTTTTTTGTTCTGTACTCTAGAAGATTTCCTCAATGTTACCTTCCAACATTTTTATTGAATTTTCTTCCTTTTTTGACATCATATATTTAATTTCCCAGAACTCTTTTTTGCTACATGATTGTTCCTTTTATGTAGCATTCTGTTCTTTCTTTATGAATGCAATATGTTCTTGCATATCTCTGAGAAGACAAGTTTATTTTCTCTGAATTATCTTTGTTTCCTCCAAAGTCAGTTTTTCATTTTTTTAAAAAAATTTTGGTCTCTCTTTTATGTTCAGTTTTCCTAAAATGTCTGATGATCCTTGGTTAATCATATAAGTAAACAAATGAGATACTAGAAAACCAATCGGGGACTCAGTGTATTTGGACAAAACTCATTGACAGTCAAGCTTCTGTCTGGGGTGACAGGTCAGAGGGCTGAATGTTAATGGGGGGTGCCCATTCCCCAAATCTAGAGGTCTTTGCTCTCAGGCACTGGTGTTTATACCAGCACTCCTAGTTCTTCCCATTTAATTGCTTTAAAGAAAATTTATCCATTAAAAAAAATGGGAGTAGATATTGGCTGTTTGTTTCTCTGTGTGGATGGGCAAATAAAGAGTTCAATTTATCTTCTGTTTTCAACCCCACTTCTCACTCCTGCTTTTTCTTACATGATGTTTCTGATCCTGAGCCTGTCTGAAGCTCCTAAGTCCATCTTCTCTCTCCTCTGCCAAAGGCCCCTCCATGAGTGTTCTGGAGTGTGGTTTCTTCTACTTTGATTCTTTTTTTCACTCCTCCTCTCTCTCCTTCCATCTTGTAGAAGTTTGTTGACTCTCCGCTGATGCTCTTTTCCTAACCCTTGCAGGTTTATGCTCTTTTCTTTTTTTTTTTTTTGAATATACCTGCCTTCTCCAGTCTGGCAAAAGGACTCCTGTCTTTTATCTGAGTCCCGCTAAGGTTTGTGGAAAGGGCTTCCGTACTCCCCAAGTCTGTGCCAGTGGCCTTTGGGCACTGTAGCCAGTGTGGCCCAGACCTATGCTCTGCATCTCTCTGCTGGCTCTGTGCAAGCCTCCCTGTGGACCAGTTCTGAAACAGATTCCCCCTAGGCAAGCAGAGGCAGAAATTTCTGAATTTCCTGAAGTTCAGAGATAATGGAAGGGAAGAATAACATGGGGAAAAATGTGCAGGCACCCTTGAATGGGCATCTGCAGGCTGGCATCATCCTCAGGTTCCCTACAAGACCCTTTCCTCTTGCTGCCCTGTCCTGGGGTCAGCTCAGATGCCCCACTGGGTGGGTGTTCCTCTGCCCCTCTGAGGAATCAGCCTATGCCCTCTGTCTACCTCCTCAAGGCCCAGCTCCCCTCCAACATAGGCCTGGATCTCTTGCCCTTCTTTCCTCTTCTTATGACTGATCTTTTCCCAAAGTGAAGGAGAGAGGAAATGTTCACTCTCTCCAGGAAGACCCCACCCTTCTCAGGAATGGCCTCACTCTCTGCTTGTTGAGGGCAATCCCGTCAATCCCCACTTGTCTTGGGTATCTTCGTCATTCAGACTTGACTAACATCAAGTGTGACACATGTGACATTTATTCTCCATCTTCATCCTCCCAAGATCCTACCATTTAACCTCATCTCCAAGTTCCCTCTTTCCCTCACTTGCCTCAGGCCTTTGCACTTGCGTTCTCATTCTCCATGCCTGAATTACTCTTTACCTGAAGGTTTTCTGCCTCATCTTATTTAAGTCTTTGTTCAAATGATAGCTTCTCAGGAGACCTTCTCTGATGACTATACTTGAATTGACACCCCTCCTAGGACTCCCTGACCTCCTTCATTGTTTTTCTCCACAGCATTTAACACCTAATATATATTATAAAACCTATTTGCTGGTATTTATCATCTGTCTTCTCCATGAGGGCAAGAATTTTTGTCTGTTTTATTCATTACTGCAGTCCCAAGCCTAGAATGGTGTCTGGCACACAGTAGGTGCTCAATAAATACATGTTGAATTGAATATAGAATAGTGTGGTTCACAGATATTGTTATATCAGCTGTGGGCCTCTGTTTCAGATCTGAAGGAATTCATTGGGTGTTGCTTTTCACAAAATAAAAACATCTCTTTCTCTGAGGGTGAATTTAAATCCTCACATCTTAAAAACAAAAATCAGATCAGTTGAAAGCTTTGAAATTACAGACCCCTCTAATCCTAAATGATGTTTTCAAAATCTCAGGACCAATTTTTAGTCTGGGCTGAAGCATAAAGTACTTCTATCCTCCTCCCCTCCATCCTTTTTGCTTCCCCATTGAGGGAGGGGAGGTCCTTTCCTATAAACCTAACTCAATTTGCTTTATTGAATCTGTGACCCATCTTGCCCAGACACTGAGTGGACTTGAGTCTGGGAAGCAGAGCTCCACTGTCAAAAGTGAATTTAAGGTCCAATTTACTGTAACTTGCATTTCTCTAAGTTCACTTGAGGGAGACCATTGTTAGACTCTGAGCTCACTTTCTCATATCCACATTTCTTCTCTCATCAATCCTCTCCTGCCTTGGCTGGGTAACTTTGCTGCCAGTCTTTTGTTCTCCTCTGTAAAAGGACAGAATAAAGGCTGCCCTGCCCACCTTCTAGGGTTTCCACAACAGCAAAGAAGCTACTGCCTGGGAACAAGCACAAAGGCTGGGGCGAGCCCTTCCTGCTGGCTATGGTGTGATGTGGCCAGGGGGCCTGGCTGCAAGTTGGAAGACTGGGACCTCACAGGTCATCTGCTGGTGTGCTGTGTGGCCTCAGACCTGGTCCTGATCCTCTGGGTCTGGGTGAGGCCAAGGCAACACTCAAGGATTGGACCAGGTCATCTTTTTTTTTTGGTATCTGAGGGTCTCTATGAAAGAAGAAGGGCCATAGAGGGTCTGATGCTGGTCACACCTGTGAAATGGGTCAAAATAATCACCATACCAAGGAGAGCAAAGAAAGAAGCTGGGCCAGGGATTGGTGCCCCCAGATGATATCCCCTCTCTATGACCACTCCCTTCTCCCAGACATGGTTAGGGTCCTTAAAAGTGTAGGAGAAGCTATTTCTAGAAGATGTGCTTACAATTATCATCAAACTTTTATTATTATTATTTTGGAAAGAAATTCCAACACCTAAGCAGGCAAAAGTTGACTTTTTTCAGGATTATTATTAGAAGGGATTTAACTGATGTGGAGTGAAGCTGGGGTGTATGGCTAAGAAGGGACATGCGTGTGGAGAAGGGTATCTGGTGAAAATTCTAGCCACAGAATGTTCAGCCAATGGGAGGTACAGCAGGGGAGGGGTAGGAAATGGCCAGAAGAGATGGAGAAGTGTGTTACAGCAGCTCAGGGGTGATGATTAAGCAGCTAGTAAAGGAAGATGAAGCTAGAGAGGGAGGCTGTGGCTGTGTTAAAGGTCCCCAATTGACCACCTAAAGGCTTCTCTCCTCAGCAGCAGGACTATGTCCCGTGTGTATGTGTGTTTCCGTCTAGTTCACCCTTGTACCCTTTGAGACTCTGACTTTCCATAAGGAAGGTCTTCTCTTGGATCCCCCACCTTGAATAGGCTCTGGTTTTTATTTTATGTCCCTTGTATCCTCCAAGGCTCTGAAAAACTAAGATCCCGTTATCCAGGTATACCAGATGTCCTCAGGACAACAGTGACTTAACAGATCTTCTTTCTCTAACTCCCACTTAGATTTTGACCTAACTTCCTATTACCTTACCAGCTGTTTAGAGCATTTAAGAAGATGTTGTGTGCATTTTACCTAGAGTTCTTCATGATTTCCAGCATACCTGACTGGTTCTATTACTGGGATGGAACTCTGGCTGGCTCTATGGCTGCTGCAAGGTGTTCTGGTCCTTTCTAACCTGTCATGAAGATCAAATGATGCTAATGGATATATTCTTGCAATGGTGCTAGCTCTCATCTGTATGACTGTTTGGAGTTTAAACAATGCTTTTATATCCAGCCTCATTTAGAACTCAGGACAGGGGAAGAATTACGGCTCTCATTTTTACAGCCAGATGTCTGAGCCGCAGGAGAAGAAGTAACCCAAGATTACTCAGTAAGAGGCAGCATCAGGATTGGAAACTAGTTTTTCAAATTCCATATCCCATTTGCTCTTCTCTTCACTTTTACCGGGTCCTTCCTCTTAACCAGGAACCACAAACCACTGTGTAAAAGGGGTCGATTAGTTTGATCCCACTGAAGGATGTAAGTAGGGTGGGTGAGGCTACACTCTGGTTCACTGGGATCCCAGAAACTGACTATGGTCTGGGTACTCAAAGCTCTGTTTTCATCACCTCCCCCAGCCTGAAAACAGCTCAGGGTGACGGCGGGGACAGCTCCACGGATGGGCTGCATCCTTCCCTCTGAATTAAGGACTAGGCTAACCACTCAAGATGAAAGCTCAGCTCCCTGTCACAGATATCCTGTTACAGATGACTAGGGAGGAGCCTCTAAACCTTGGACTCTCTCTCCAACTGTCTTCTCTAGGTGGAAAGTGATGGTATGGGATTATGATGACTCAGTGTAAAAGGATGGCAACTCTGTACACAGATGCGGTAATAAACAGAGAATTTAAGACTGAAGCAGGAGAATTCTGGTCTTAGTCAGTCTATATGAGACCAGTTCTATTACTGACACAGAGCAAATCACCATTCTTTTAAGACTTAATTTGTTCTTTTCGCGTCAAAGCAGCAAGGGGATGCAACTGCCTATCCGGCAACTTTAAGAAATTATTTATGAAAGGACAAATTCCCCACAAGGCCATCCAGAGAAGGGGGGATACAAGGGGAGCAAAGGGAATAAAGAAAGGATGGGGCATGAACACAGAACCGATAGACCAGGCGCTTGACACTAAAGGCTTAACATCAAATGCAGCCAGAAATCCATTTCCACAGTTTTATTGGCCATTCTGGCTGCCTCATTTCAAAGGGAAAGATTTGAATTCAGAGACACAACATTCCCTTTGTTCTCTTGCCCTCCAGCCTTTGGTGCCAGTGTGGACTGTACCAGAGGGAGAGAGTGAGATCAAAACCCCTCTCCACTCAGCTACCTGCCCCCAGAGCTGGCCCTTGGCATGCTTAATGAAATCAGCTTTGCTATAGATTGACAATGCCCTGTCAATTATAATCACTTATCTTGGCAAGCAGAGCATTTGAACACTTAAAAGAGCAGGGGGTTCAGTGGGCCCAGAAAAACCAGAATAAAATTATACTGCATGGTAATCAGAGCAAGAGTATATTGCTCACATAAAATTTTACTTTAACTGTCAGAAGGACCGGTAGGATTTTCCATCTCATTTTCTGCCCATTGGGTATTTGTGGTTCCATCTGGGGTCACTTTGTCCTAACTGACGTTAATAGGGGTATTGTGTCAGTAGAGGGGGGGACCACGCGATGCACAGGGAAGATTTGGGGTACGCTGGGGACACCGGGAGGGGGTGCAATGGCCTGTGACATAGCAAGAAGTACAGGATTTGAGGGGATTCCTGGCTCCCCCGGAATTTCTGACCGTGAGCCTAGATACACTGTCCCCCACGCAGTGTCTCATTTGTCTTCTAGATAATGGAGCAAATATGTCACCCTTATGGTGCCACTGTGGCAGACAGACTTTTCTTCCTTCTCACTTACTATTGTAAAACCTGGGTTTTAGCTGGGCAGTTGCCCACCCAGAGGATCTCCCCAGCCCTCCCTGATCAGCTTTGGGTGGGAGCAGCTAGAGCAGCCCTGGGGGAATGTAAGGGGTGAGAGCGAGGCCCCGCTGATTGCACCAAGAGCGGCTGAGCGAGGGGTCTCCCTGCTTCACTATCCCACACGCCTGCACAGTGGCATCTGTCTAGGAAGCTTCTGGTAGGACCTGCAATCCTGAGGGGCGGGGGGCTGCTGACAGAGGGCTTCGGGACTCAGGAGAACCTCCTGAACCTAGGACAGGAGGACCTTGTGAATGGGGAGCCCGGGACCAAGGCAGCCACTGCCCTCAGATACCCGGCAACAAAAACAAAGCCAGAAGCTGACCGAGGCCAGTAGGTGCTGAGGATGGTTGTGGGCTGGACCCACCCTTCCCTGAAGCCAGAATGATCTGCTCTTCTTCCTCTAGATTCCTCACACCTTTCCTGGAGAGAAGGAAAGGGGAAAGTCTCTGATCGGACTGGGGACTTTTCCAAAGGTGACAGTTTAACTCAGGTGACCCTGAGTCATCAGAAACTGATGGTTTTCTGCCATCAGCAGGAAAGATGCTTGAGAGCTGTTAGTTCTCTCTGCATCCAGGGCTTGGCCTACGAGCACATGGAAACCTGCCACATCGTTCTTGCCCTTCTGCCGTAACCTGTTGGGAGAATTTCGGTAAATGACGTAAAAATAAAACCTACCTGCAGCAAACCTGGAAAAGCGTCCCCCTGCCTGAGCGGCCATCTCAGGGGACATTGACTGAGCTGCCAATAGCCTGGCTCTCGGTCAGACACAGCCCCCGTGAAGGCACAGGCACTTGGTACTTTGTCCCGGGAGGATGGAGACGAGGAGGCAGACAGGTGTGCATGTTCCTGGGGCCAGGGGTGGGGGGTGAGCTGTGGGTGGGGAGGGGCGGGTGATGCAGTAGGAGAGGCTGGGAAGGGCTTTCTGCGCGGGACTTTTGAGGGGGACCCACCCCTGCCAGACCTTGACCTTGGCTGTCTGACAACCACAGTCCCATCACTGTACAGTGCCAGGGGAGGGGGCTTTGTGTGCTTCACAGCCGGGGACACTGAGGCGTGAGGGGCGAGGCGTCACGGCCAGTGGGCGGTGGAATGAGCAGGCTCTTTTCAGCCTCCCAGGAGCATCTTTTGTTTCTCCCCTCCTCGGGTCCCCATGCCCTAGCCCCTCAGTTTTCAGGGCTCTCGGCCAATTTACCGCAAGACTTAGCTCTGGGCAGCTGTGGCCAGCTGTTTAGGAAACGGGCTCTATGGGGCCAAGGCGTTGGTCTCCCCAGGCTTACTGGATTTCTTCGTTTCTGCTTCTGCCCGTGAGAGACCCTGGCAGCTGAAGCTGGACAACGGGATGGTGGGGGCGGCAGGGGGGCTCAGCCTTACTCTGTTTGCAGCTGGAGCCCCATGAGATGGGCTGGGGTCTGGGCTCAGGCCCCCTAAAGGGGGCTTCTCCATAGAAATCATGACAATGACCATACCTAACCAAGAGGGCTGCTGTAATGGAGATGCTATTTGATGAGAGTGGGTGGCCGTCCCTTAGACAAAGAGTCACATGGCCCAGAGAGGTTAACTTCCTTGTCCAAAGTCACACAGCACTTCGGAGGCCAGTTCTGGCTAGAACACAGCTCTCTTTGCCCCACGTATCACTCTTTCCTTTTCCCTTACTTTTCAGTCCTCAGACATGAAACAGCTTGCTCCCTGGGACCTTTCTAGTAACATTTCCTTTCTCTAATTCATACGTCACACAGGTACTCCATAAATTAAAAAAAGAAGAAAAGTCATACAGCCAGTAGGAATGAATGAAGCTATTGTAAAATGACATGAATAAGAATTAAAATCTCAAGCTACATTTTTCTTTTCAGGGGTGGGGGGGGCAGACACTAAATCTCTCAGTGGCAAGCAGGTGCATTACATCTCCAAGGGGAGGGAAGCAGATGCCCGAGTGGGAAGAGTGCCCTTTGAAAGGGTGAAATGGGAGTGTCGAAGTTTGTAGTCACGCTCCCCAGAGGTCGTGCAGGGTGGCTGCGGAACAAGGGCCTTCTGCGTGGGGTCAGGCGCTGCGGGTGTGTGGGGTGTGTGTGGTGTCAGCACTGTGCTGGCTGGCCACAGATGGGGCTTCAGGGAAAGAGCTGGACTCAAGTGCTTCCCATACCCCGTCCTCCCTCCCTCCTCTCTCTCCTCCCTTCTTCCCTCTTTCCTTTCTCTCCCTGTCCCTCTCTCTTCTTTTCTCCCACCACCTCCTACACCCCAGACCTGTCCAGGAAGCTCTGATAGTACTGTGCCCATCTGAGGATGCTCTGAGGCACTGGCTCATTGCCAAGCTGCTGCTTCTGTTTGGAAGGACCCTGCCCCCCATCTCTGGCTGTCCAAAGCCCTGTCTTCTCTCAATGCCCTCTAAACCCCCTGCCCCCCAGGGGACCTGTCTTAACTTGTTTCTCCTGGAGTCCTTCAAGGGTGAGAGACTCAGCCTGCACCCACCGGGCAATGCAGATGTCACACATATATCGTCTTACATAATCTTCCCCATCACCCTTCCTGGCAGCTCGGTGCTAGGTTAATAACCCGGTTCTCGAGCTTTATTGGATGTATGCTTGTTGCTGATGGGAACTTCTCCAGGAGTGGGTGGCAGCTAGCCCCATCTTTCAGGCAGAGCGACCGAGGTGCAGAGCTGCAGAGGCACTGGGCAGGGGGCGTAGACCATCAGTGGGCGGTAAAAGTAGAATTCAAACCCACAGCAGCCAAATTCCAGCACCCCTGTTCCTCCCCGTCCCCTCTGCAACCAGGGACCAGGCAACTCCTGTCCCCTTTGACCTTCTGTTTCAGCCCCTCCAAGGGTCTCGTTTCCGAGTTATTTGTGGATATCTGGCAGTGGGGTGAGTGGAAAGATTGTGTGATTTGAAGTCCGATAGTCTTTATCTCAGTAGCGTCTGAACTAATATTAATAGAAAGCCCTCACTGAGCACGTGCCGAGGGTCATGCCCTGATCTAAGAGCTTTACTGACCCAGGAACCTCACACTGCCTATGAGGAGGGTACAGTCATCATATGACTTTTCCCGATGAGGAAGCCAAGGCACAGAGAGGTTGTGTCACTTGCCCAGCCTCACACAGCCGCCCCCCGCAGAGGGAGGCTTCACTGTAGGCGGCCTGGCTGCAGCATCTGTGCTTTTAACCCTTTAGCTGCCTTTAGCGTGAGCACATGGGACGAGACTAAGAAACAGGCACAGGAGGTGCAGGACACAGAGGTGGGGTCCACATGAGAAACGGCAGCTTCTCCATTTTATGCCCTCTTCTCTCACTGCAGTGGGAGTTCCTGCAAACCTGTCAGCCGCCCTTCTCTGTAGCTCCTAGCATGAGGCTGGGTGTGAAGTTGTTCAGGGTGCCAGATGCACGGAACTAGCCCTGGGTCTTGTGTACTATCACAGCCTGATGAAGTGAGGGGCAACACGTGTCATCCTTGGGGCTCCTACCAGGAGCGTGATCTTGGCAATGTGGTCACAGGGCACTTGGAAGCTGAGTACTTTGGGCTTGATGGAGGAATTTGTCCCAAGGTGTTCTATTTTGATACTCTCAACAAAACAAAACAAAACAAAACAAACAAAACAAAGCAAAAATCTTTGTAGGAAAGAAAATAACCCAAAGGTGAAATTGATTATGAATTGTGTTTGAAGCTTCCCAGTTAAATGATTTCCCTGTATTAGTAAAAACCCTTTGCTTCTCCTCATACATTTCCATTATGCAGAATATTCTACATTAGGGGGGTTTCTCTGTGGACTTCAGTATCCCACCATGGCTGACACAGTTTATATTTTCCTAATAGAACAGCACTGCAATGGAAATTGTAGGGCATAAATCTTTGCCTTTGGAATCATCAAAAGACAGAGCCCCTTGCTGGCATTACTGGTTGAAAGGAAATTCCATCGGGTTTAAAGATACAGGGTTATCTCTTAAGTTTGGAGACAGATTCCCTAATTCAGCCAAGTGGACATTAATGGAACTTTCTGAGAAAAGAGAACCAACATGGATTAAGTGCCCACAAAGCCAGCCTTGTGTTTCATTTAATTTGACTGTCAGTCCTGAGAGGTGGGCATGTGTATTTCCCTTTACATGGATGAGAAAACTGAGGCCCAGAGACAAATCCAACTTGTCCAGAGTCGTACAGCCAGGTGTGGTCAGAACCCAGGGCTGTCAGGTTGGGGAGGAACATCATCAGTGTCACACACCTGACAGTGCATTTTCGGGTCCCTTTGGCACCCAGGGCTTCCCTGTCTCTCGGGCACATGGAACCTAAGAATCTGGCATTTGCTCAACTCTGAGAAGCTGTGGACAAAATGATGAGGGTACAAGGACAAAATGACGAGGGTCCCCCAGAGTGCAAAGACTTCCCCCAGGTGCAGCACCATGTGTCTTCTTATTTTCCTGTTGATTCTATGAAAATATTTATTTTGTGATTCCAAACCAAATGAAGAATGCGTTGCCACGGGAACCATCAAACCATGCTTTCTTTGAACCCTTTATTAATGATGCCTTGTGTCTCCCACTTTTTTTTATCTCATTTTCTGTGCGTGAGATTGCTGGAGCACGCTCCCTTCACTTCCTCTGCACCGCGTCTCTGCCCAGCAAAATCACGTCCATCCTTCAAGGCTCATTTCCTCCTCCACCTCCTCCAAGAACTCCCTTCAGCTGGCACCCCGTTCTCTTGATGGGTGACGTAGTTCCTTTCCACTGATGGTCCCTAAGACCCTTTTACTGAGTTGGAATTCATTTGTTTATTTATCTGATCATTCATTCATCCAACAAGCATCTGCTCAACACCTACTCTACACCAGACCTCATATTCGATGTTAGAGACACCAAATTAAAAAAAAAATACAATAAATACACGGTTCCTGCCCTCAAAGGGCTCATAATCTCTTGGGAGAGGTATTGACCCAAATGTGCGATTCAAATCTGGGAAAGACAAGACTATAATAGAGCCTGGCACAGTGGTCCATTCCTTTTGTGGGGTTTTAGAGAAAACTACCCAGAGAAGGGGGCAGCTGGGCTGGCAGTGATGGATGAGTCAGAGCTTCCAGGGCATCCTGGGTGATCAACGACCTCCAGGCCTTCCACTTGCCCCATGGTGCTTTTGTGTGAATAGAAAAAGTCACCTTTCTTGGGCACTTAAGTGCAGTCAACAACCTGCACAACCTTCCTTGGCAACCCTGAGGATCACCTTCTCTCCTCTGTTATGTCTGAGCACATGTTCCAAATTTCTTTGTGGTCCTGGCCACAGAGGCCCACTTGGGCTATGTATTTCACTTATAAGTTGGCCTTGCCTGGTTAGATGGTGGTTCCCTGAGGCCAGAGTACCTTTCTTAGCTTCATACCACTCAGGGCCCCCTCATACAGCAACACTTGAAAAATTAACGAAATCTTTCTAACATCAGAGAATTCTACACAACTTATGCCAGGCCAAGGATCCACTACTTCAGAATCATTTGGGAAAGATTTGAAAAAATACCATTACATAGTGTCACCTTGGAAGATCTGATTCAGTGGGCTTGAGATCATAAATGATAATCTTTTTTTTTTTTTTTTTTTTTTTTTTTTTTCTGGGCTCTCTCCCTTGTTGCCTCTCCCGTTGTGGAGCACAGGCTCCGGACGCGCAGGCTCAGCGGCCATGGCTCACGGGCCCAGCCGCTCTGCGGCATGTGGGATCTTCCCGGACCGGGGCACGAACCCGTGTCCCCTGCATCGGCAGGCGGACTCTCAACCACTGCGCCACGAGGGAAGCCCAAGAATCATATGTTTTTAAATATAACTGGAGTATTTCTGATGATAATAATGAATTCTTACGGGTCTGTTATCAGTGCCTGCACTGTTCTAGTATATAGATCATCTCATTTCATGCTTGTGACAACCATAAGAGGCAGATCTGGTCTCAGAGTTCTACAGATGAAGGGACAGACACATGGTAAGATTCAGGGACCTGCTTAAGGTCACCCAGCTGGTAAGTGCTCGGGCTGTGGTCTGAATCCAGATGGGCAGAGCCCAGAGCCCATGCACTTTGGTGCTGTGTGATAACACTCGTCCCAGAATCAGAGATAGAATCTGGGAAATCTGGAAATACTAGGCTTAAAATGGTCCTTGAGGGTTACATCTTTCAGATTTCCCATTATAGAGATGGGAACACTGAGTTCCCAAAGGCAAACAGCTGTGTTCAAAGTGTCCTGTGAGTCAGCCACAGGACTCATCTATGAGCTTTCGTTGTCCGCCCTCCAGGGCTCCATCACCAGCTCATGGTGATTTATCCCCACCTACAATAGGCAAGGCACTGACAGCTACAACAACAACAGTAACAATAATAATACTATCACATCTGGCCTGTGTTTCTCGTCCATGCTCTGTGTTACTTACTTTGGGGACATCCACTATTCTGATTTTCTAAATGCCCTTGAGACAAATAGCACAGCCTTTCTTTAAGGAAAACAGAAAACTGTAAGGCAGTGATTCTCAACTGGGGGTGGTGATTTTGTCCCCCACAGGGCATGTTTACAGACAGTTTCGGTCAGGAGATTGGGGTTTGCTATCGGCATCTAGTGAGTGCAGGCCACGGACGCTGCTAACACCCTACAGTGCACGGGGCAGCCCATCATGACAAAGAAAAAGCCACGTGGTTTTCCTCCTCAGCTGGTCTCCAAACATGGGATGGGGAAGGACAGAGGGGCGGTTGCAAAGCCGTCCAGCCTTATCTCACAGCCCAGTGACTCGCCATGGGCTCAGGCCCGTTATCCCACCCCCCGACATCAGGCCCCCCACGTGTAATGTGGTCAATGGTGCCTACCATGCAGCTCCTTTGGGTACGATGCTCCTGTACGCAGTGTGTCCAGAGACAAGGAAACACATTTCAAAAGGCAGCCGTTCTCAGCGCGAATAAGGTAAGAGGCTCCATGTGTGAATTCCACCCCATCCCTAGCTGGGCCATGTGTCACCTTGAGCAGTGACCTCCTCGACCTGCAATTTCCTCATCTTTAAATGAGCATCGTGATACATCTATCTCTCAGGGTTGACGAGACAAGATGGCAGAGGGCTTGCTCGGTGAATTAATTAGTTCCCTATGTGATTGTCCCCTTGCTGCCCTCCTGGGCTGGAGGGCTGGAGGGCACCGCCCACTCCTCCCTACGCCAAAAGGATGGATCCAACCGGTGGGGTGGGAGCGAGGGGGGAGAAGGAGGAGGCGTGGGAGGGGCGGGGCTGGAGATGGGGGAGGGTAAGGTGGCGATGCTTCTCTGGGGGGTGAGGACACCGGGTCAGGACCAGGCGGAGGGCAGAGGAGGGAGTCCTCTGGGGCTGGGGGGTAGGGGGGGCTGGCAGGGATCAAATCTGCCACATTTTAATTTGGAATCAGTGCCCCAGGGAGGGATTTAGACACAGTCAGGCTGCTTTGTACAAATAACCTCCCTTCCCGGACAGCTGTCAGCGTGAGTCCTGCACGAACCGCCCAGAGAGGTAAGGGGCGGGTGGGTGGCTTGTGGGGGAGAGCCCCCAGGCCCCGAGCCAGGCCCCACACAGAGGGGCCCTGCTTCCAGGCTGCAACCCTGAGGTCTGGGCTTTCAACCCCGCCTGCAGAGGCGGAAACTGAACGCAGGGAGCAGAGATGGTCTCAAATCTCGCAGCTGCCTGGGGCTGAGCTGGCCTTTGAATCTGTGACACCGATTCCCTCCACGGCCTCAGTTCTTGGGTGAAAGGCCACACACCTGGCTTAGGGCCTCCTACATAGTAGATGCTCAATAAAAACGAGCTGCATGAAGATGAAGCATGACATTGAGGGGAAGTAGACAACGGTAACAAGAGTAATAAGAAGGAATACATTAAAAACCGCACTCACACACACGCACACGATGGACAGACCCGGAGGATATACTTTTCTCCCGTGACTTCGGAGCTTTGTTTGAACTGCGTCACATCAGACCTGGCTCGTCTCTTGGCTCTTCTTTGTCACGTGTAACCTGGGGGTGACAACAGCCACGTCACTGCTGGCTTGGGACAATAACACAAGATAAAACAGATCACCTCCAGACAAGAGCAGCACCTCTGCTCACTGGTTCACTGAGATCAGAACCGGGGTCCGATGACCATCCCGGTTGTTTGGCCAGGAGATAAAATAAATTTCTCCCTGTTTCCCAGTCCAGCCCTTATTCTGGTCTACCTCAGAGCATATCCGACCCACAGGCCGCCAGCAGGGTGAGGCGGGCTGCGCAGACAGACACACCAAAAGGAAAGGAACCCTCAAATCCTGCAGCATATTTTCTTGCCCTTCCCTCCCCCAGACTGATTCAGACTTTTTAATGATGAAGATGCTCACTTTGAGTCAGGGTCTGAGTCAGAACAATAGTGAAGAAACATTGGCTTCTGAGTTAGAGCTGGGGTAAAGATCTTGGCCACCTTATGACTCAGTTTCCTCAGTAAAGATTAGAAATAAAGCATAGAAAACACCGAGCACCTAGAAGACAGTAAATGGTGGCCGCTGTCACAGGCATTGTTAGAGATGCATCCACCATATTCCCTAAAAAATGTGAAGACCCGGCAGCCCCTGCGCTGCCCAGGTCTGTTTTGTTGTGGTCATTTGGGGTTTTAGGGGAGGGTTTTGCTGCTTGTGAGTGGGGTGAGGATCACACTCCTTTCCTTGTGCTCTGGAATCAACAGTTTGCTCTGCTCGTAGCTGCCCTCACTCCCCTGGGAGCCCAATTTCAAAGGATTTCTCCACTGAGCTAAGCAAACCTAGTCATCTTTGTGCACAAAACTCCCACCCAGGCTATTTGTCTCTGTTCTGAGCGCTTGGCATGGGGCCCGAGAGAAGTCTCCAGAAGGAGTGCTTAGCGAAGAATGCTGGCATCCAGTCAGGGTTGACTGTCCATAGTCCGCCAGCCCCAGCCCGTCCTCTGCCCGGGGCTCTTGGCAGCCCAAGTTAACCACAAGACAAGTTTTATCATCTGTTAAACCTGTTGTTTGGAAAAAAAAAAATGACTTCAATAAAATATTTCAACAATTATAGTCCATTTTAATTAGGTGTGTGCCACATAATTATAGGTTAAAAAAAGTGGATAGGGTTTCAAAACCCAACACCCTGGCCATACGGTGTTGGCTGTTCTCCTGCAGAATTTCCAGCTGGATTCTCCACCTGAGGAGACACAGCATACCTGGGGAGCCCTCCCCACTCTCCGTGGCTTGACCCAGTTACCCTTTTTTTCACCATTCTCTCCACTTCCATCTGGAATCTTAGAGTCCTGGAAGAGGTGGGGATGGTGGCAGGTGGCCCC